TTCAGATAGAAAAGCATTTTTTCACCACAAGAATTAATGTATTGGAAGTGGTGACGCATGAAGGAACTTAAGAATTTAAATATACAAGGGCAGTATGTATGGTGTGAAGGATGAAGGGGAAGGAGCATGCTCATGAAATAAGGGAGAGGCTGACTTTTTAGAGCAATAGCTGGTGTAAACCTTTTAGTCTGAGCTTTCATCCTGCCCCTTTGAGAATGCTTCATTTTTCTTTACTGCCATCGTGTCGCTCCTGGACAAAGATCAGGATGTAAGTCAAATGAGGAAAAAGCTGAAGAAAAGGGGTGATGGTCAGGTATTCAGTACCACAGCTGGAAGAGGCTGGCTTCTCTTTGAATGATGATTCAGCGTGGAAAGACAGCATCTCCATTTCATGGGATATCTCTCATCCTGTTCCTCTTGGTCTTCTATGACAAACACAGTGAATTTAAATAAACCAGGACATTATGTATTGTCTGACCTGCATGTATCTTCCTTCTGTTCTTTTAATTCTTACATCCAAAAATGCTTTTTTTTTTTTTGTCATCATCAATCAACTACTGTGTGGGACAAACAAGTTTATGGCTCAAGATCAGAGGTAAGATGAATGTCGGCCTTGGCTGCAGTGACAATAGATGATGAAGTTGAAGATCCTGAAAGCAAAGAAGGCAAGTTCTAGATTAAAGTCCAGCCCATAAGGGTGAATGTGTGCATGCTCAGGTCATCTTGGTCAAGTAAGAGTAGTAAGAGTATAGTAGATATTTTTGTTCAATTTGTATTGTAATGGTAAAGTGGAAAATAAGAACTGAATTGTGTATGTCTCTAGGGTACACAGAGAAGAAAATTTTTTTAAATGTAGCCTTCTATTTGCACAGATGCTATGAATTACTTTCCAAATAGCTGCTATTTTATTATCCTGCTAGAGTAGAACCCAGACAAATTCAGTGCACTTTGCCAGTCTGATTGTGCTGTTCTTTGGTGACAAAGAAGTGGGAAAGAACTCTGGAGAAAGACTTGTACTTGAACTTTGAAAGTTCTCTAACTTTAAAATTCCTTGCTGTTAAAGATTTTGGTACTGAAATCTTGTTTTGTAGTGCTTTCAATTTTTGTTTGTTTGTTTTTAAGATGTTTCTAGTGTTAATTAAATCTACCAGTTATTGCAGATTTCCTACAGACCTAGAGTATGCAGGTCTTGGTGAGTGTTATATGAGCCCAGCAGTGATTCAGAGCTGAGATTGGATGGTTGTGGAGTCCTCAAGAATTAGTCAACATAGTACTGTGGGAATAGAGGCAAGGAAATTCTTTGCTAAACCTTCTTTTGACCAATTCATAGACTATATGCCATGTAGTGAAAGAAGATTGTCTGTTTTGACTTGTATAATTAGCATATCACTGGGTATAAATTTATTTTATGGTATACTTTCTGGTTGAGTCCTTGACCTCTGTTTTTGCTGTCCACTAGTCATCTTTGCTTCTGTCAAGTGCTTTCATTACTGGCTTTCAACTTTATTAAATTGAGATGACCATTTACTGTTTTCAGGAGATTTTGAGCTATCTGCATTTAATTTTAAGTATCTGGATAAGCTGCCTCTGCTTTACAGGATAATATAATTATTCTTGTTGTACAGTTTTTCTTTAAATTACTCCTGCTTAGGATTGTCTTCAGTGCCCTGCTGATGGGTTAGAAATCTTTAGGGTTTCATAAAAAAACCTGATTTGTTGAATGGCTGTGGTGGGTTGACCTTGGCTGGATGCCAGTTGCCTGTCAAGCTGTTCTATCACTCCCCTCCTCAACTGGACAAGCGAGAAAAAATATCATGAAAGGATTGTGGGTTGAGGTGAGGGCAGCAGGATATCACTCACCAATTATTGTCATGGGCCAAAGAGACTCAACTTAGGGAAATTAATTTAATTTATTGCCAATCAAATTAGAGTAGGGTAAAGATAAATAAACCCAAGTCTTGGAAACATCTTCTCCCCACTCTTCCCTTCTTTCAGGGATTAGCTTCACACCTGATTTTCTCTGCCTCCTCCCCCTTAGTGGAATAAGGGGGATGAGGAATGGGGGTGGTGGTCAGTTTGTCACACATTGTTTCTGCTGCTCCTTCCTCCTCAGGGGGAGGAGGACTTACACTCTTGCCCTGCTCCATTGTGGAGTCCCTCTTAAGGGAGACAGTTCTTAATGAGCTTCTCCAATGAGAGTCTTTTCCACGTGCTTTAGTTCTTCACAAACCGCTCCAGCATGGGTCCCTTCTGTGGGGTATGGTTCTTCAGGAACAGATTGCTCCAGTTTGGATTCCCCACAGGGTCACGAGTCCTGCCAGCAAACCTGCTCCAGCGTGGACTCCTGCGAGGATCTCTATCCAGTGCAGGCTTCATGTGGGGTCTCAGACTCCTTTGGGCATCCAGAGGTTCTGGGATGGGGTCCTCCATGGGCTGCAGGTAGATCCCTGTCCCACTTTTAATGTGCACAGGCTGCAGGAGGACAGCCTGCCTCACCATGGTCTTCACCACCGGTTGCAAGGAATCTGCCCTGGCACCTGAAGCACTTTTCCCCTTTCCTTCTTGGCTATCCTGGCTGTCTGCAGAGTTGGTTCTCTCGCATAGTCTCACTCCTCTCTTTGGCTGCAGTTGCACAGCAGGTTTTTTATCCCATTCATTAAATATGTTATCCTTGAAGTGCTTCCACTGTCATTGACTGGGTTGGCCTTGGCCAGCACTGGGTCCCTCTTGGAGTCAGCTAGCATTGGATTTTTGGGACATAGTGAAACCTTCTCACAGAAGCCATCCCTGTAGCCTCCCTGCTACCAAAACCTTACCCCACAAACCAAATACAATGACTAATTTTCAATACATTCTGCATTTCCTATCTGGTTTTGTGCATTCATCTTCTTTTTAAATTAAGTAGTAATTTTTATCAGGTTGATCATTATAAACCCCCCCCTCCCCCCCAAACCCCTTGTATTTGGCAGGTTCCAACACCCCTGTGTACTTGAAAGATGTCAGTTGTCCATACCTTATTTTAAATGTATCTATAATCTCACTGGTGTCACAGATTTTGCAGGTATTCAGTTAGCATCTGTATTTTTCTTACAAAATAAATAATCTTAGAATGGCTAAGATAGGTAATGTTCACTCAAACTATGAAATATTTTTTCTTGCTGAATAGTGAAGTATGTTTAATGTAGCTAATGTCTCTTGTGGTATTCCTCAGAGATTTTGAGTTCTGTATGTAGTGTGATAATTCAGTAAGGTATCCTCTTTTATACTTAGAAATACTCAGTTGTTGTTTTTTTTTTTTTTTTAATAGAAAATATTAAAATCACAACAGTGTTTTTTTTTATTGTGAAAATGGTGGAAGTTGAGACTTGAATATTCAACATTTTACGAATGGATAGTGTGGTAGGCAAGTGTAAGGCAAATAATCCGTTTGCTCTTGGCAGGATTTGCTTTGCTTAACTGTAGTAATTTAATAATGGTCATAATTTAATCAACATTAAACCGGCTCATGCTGTTAGTTTTGCCTGAAAGGCAATTTTGTTTGCTGCTGGCCGCTTGCTGTTGCTTTGCATTGTTATTTAGCTGAGTGTTGGAATTGCATTTGTTGACTGTGGTGGCAGTTTATGCTACTTTAAAAGGTTCATGGAATTACAGCTTTTAAAGCATGCAGCCTATTGACCATAGAATCATCAACTTCTTTAGGTTGTAAAAGACCTTTGAGATCATTGAGTCCAGCTCTTAAACCATCATTTCCAAGTCTACCACTAAGCCAGGTCTCTCAGCACTATATATACACTCTTCTTTTAAATACCTCCACCACTTCCTTGGCCAGCCTGTTCCAGTGCTTGACAACCCTTTCTGTGAATAAATTTTTCCTAATGTCTCATCTAAACCTCTCATGGTGCACCTTGAGTCCATTTCCTCTTGTCCTATTGCTCACTACTTGGGAAGACAGAACCACACCCACTTGACTACAGCCTCCTTTCAGATCGTTGTAGAGAGCGGTAAGATTTCCCGAGCTTCCTTTTTTTGCAGGCTAAACAACCCCAGTTCCCTCAGCTGCTCCTCATAAGACTTGTTGTCTAGATCTTTCATCAGGTTCTTTGCCCTTCTTTGGGCACTCTCCAGCCCCTCAGTGTCTTTCTTGTAGTGAGTCTTTCTTAAAGTGAATATATTTCACAGGCCCCAAACTGAACACAGCACTCAAGATGTGTTCTCACCATTGCCTAGTACTGGGGTACAATCACATCCCTAGTACTGCTGGCTACACTATTTCTGATGCAAGCCAGGATGCTGTTGGCCTTGGCCACCTGGGCACACTGCTGGCTCATGCTCAGTTGGCTGTGGACAACACCCTCAGGTCCTTTTCCATTGGGCAGCTTTTCAGACGCTCTTTCCCAAGCCTGGAGCGTTGCCTGAGGTTGTTGTGAGCCCAGTGCAGGACCTGGCACTTGGCCTTGTAGAACCTCATACTTAATTCCTTTATGTTGGTTCTCTTGCCAGTTACTGGAGACATCTCTTGCAGTAGCTGTCTTGCCTACCTATTTTTGGGTGGGATGACTAGGAGGTGCCTGTTGCTCAGCAGTGATAAAAATAGGGTAAATTAGATTATCAGACTAAAATAGTGGTGGGTAAGATGAGTCTCATCCTTCCATAACGATCAATGACTTTTCTGTTTTTCTTCATGTTGTATTAGCTTTCAAAATGATCTAAAGCCTTGACATTTTGATGATAAAAATTTGGTTCTCTTAATGATAAACTATAGCATTTGGCCGTAATAATGATGAGAATGACGTTGTGTGCCACTTCGCACAGGAAATTCTCTGTCTTTAAACCTGTGCTGTGCCTATCTATCTGCCTAAATCGGCTAACTAATCCTAACTGTAAGTTAGGAACATGACTGCAACTTCTCATGTCATGAGTTTTGCACATGTTTTTACTTCTATTAAACTACATATTTTTTTTTTCTAATGCTGATGTAGTGTTAATTCTATTGTACAGACATGGAGGAAATGAAGCCTTTAATTGAGGAACAAAATTCAGGTGCCATCTCAGAGGAAGAGCATGAAAATAATTTCCTGCCAGTTGAGGAGCATTACCAGTTTCAAAATGAAGAAGGCATTACGTATGTATTGTTCTTAAATACCAGCTTGTTAAAATTTGTTGCCCTCAACTTATTTCTTGTGGGTAGCTTACTAAACTCTTAAGGGGTTTTACTGCACCTGCAGTACGGTTTTGTGGTTATACATCAGGACTTTGCATAGTTTTGCCAAAAAGCAGCCTGTTTTGTATAGGTTTTCTGTTCTTTGGAAGCTAACAATGTGCTGACTGTAAAATATTCCAAGGTGCTCATTTGTAAAGTGATTAGGTAATTCAAAATCCAAGCACTGTTTAAGGAATGTTTTGATAGATTTTAATTTTTTTGTAAAGGAACTTCAGAAGACTTTGGAAATAAACTGTTTGTTAAAGTTTAATTAGAAGAACTTTTGAAGCTTTTTTTTTTCTTTTGATAAGTCTTTGGCTGTCAGACTTGTGATTTGCCGCTGCTAATTTTTTCAAATGGTATTTATTCTGAAATAAGATTGATGAAACTTGGTAATTGTAACTCCTGGAAAATAACTTTTCACATGCTGGAGGAAGGACATGAAGATCAGATTGGATGCTCTGTTTGGGGGAGCTCAAATGTAGAGATGAATAAGAACATTATTTCCATGTGGTGGACATTCTTTAAAGGAGCTGGACCACCTTAAAGTAGTTGAAGCTCACTATCCCTTTATTAAAAAATCACAGAGGATGTAATTTTGTTTGTTTCTGTGGTGTGGTTTTTTTTTGTTTGTTTGTTTTTGTTTTGTTTTTCTCCACTAATCTCAATGTAATTCTGATGTGTCTTTTTATTTTCAGGTTTGTACAAACACTTATGCATCTCCTCAAAGGAAACATTGGAACTGGGCTTCTTGGTCTTCCACTTGCAATAAAAAATGCTGGCATTGCGGTGAGAATTCCAGTATTTTTCATAGGTGTCCTGGTTCAGCTAGGGTAGGTTTAATGTTCACTGGAAGTTGGGGGTGTGCCTCAGCCAGGATAGACAACTGACCACGCCTAGGTTATTCCATACCATACTAAACCACGAAAATAGATCAGAAAAGTAATCTAGAAAGATTACATATGTGCGTCTGAAAAACTAAAACCTCAATACTTTTTTTATCACTGCCAACTTCAACAGTATTCTATTTTTCCCCTTCAGTCTGGTGAAGTCAGTACTGAAGATTGAGAGTGTTTTTTTTTTAAGGTTACTACTTCACATCGAAGACTTCATAGCATGTGTTAGATTGTTGCTTAGCCAAAGTATTTTTTTGGCTAAAACAAGAACTTTGTCAGAAAAAAAAAAAAAGATTTTGATTCACTCAGATTCTTACGATGTCTCATGGGAATTGTTATGGGATTATCTTGTGTTTGTTCAGACTTGTGTCAAGTTGTGAAATGAAATAAGGAATGCCATAAAACATCAGCAGCAAATCCCCCTATGAGAGGGGAAAAACATCCAGATGCATAAATTTTGGATTCTTATTTTATTTGCTACAATATGAAATTTTTGCATGTAAAGGTTTTTCCCTAGCATATTTTAATGAAAAATTCTGTTTATCTTCTGTCTCTTCCCTTTTTTTTTTCCCATACCAGATCGGACCAATCAGCCTTGTGTTCATAGGAGTTATATCTGTTCATTGTATGCACATCTTGGTACGTTGCAGCCAGTATCTATGTCAGAGGTAAGTGTGGAGCTACTCATTCTGTTGCTGAATTTGAAATGTTTTCTTTTGTCTTTTCCTTTTCTGATTTTTGGCCTACAGAATGTGCTGGTGCTGTAGCAATTTCTCCTCTTAACCTTGTACTTGAATGGAATTAATCAGATTCTTGATATCCAACTATAAATGATAGCTATGCTTTGTGCAACACTACTTTAATACGTTGAAAAAAATATTTGTTCTCAGCTCATATACAAAATAAAATTGGTTTAACTTGTGTTGCCCAGTACCCTGTTCCTTGTCTTTGCTGGCAAATAATCAGGCTGTTCTCACTGCAGTTTCAGTTGCTTAGTTTCATTCTGTTACTCCTTTATTTTCATAGCTTCTGAATCTTCATCTTTTCATCTTGAAAAGTGTCCAATTTATAAATAGCTAATTTATAAGTACTTTATGGGAATAAAAGATAAAATAAAAATTGCTATTAATATCTTTCATGATTATATGTGAGCTCTGTCTCTTTGGATTGTGACAACTTGATTCTTCGAAATTGTAGTGCTGAAGGAAGGTGTTAAAATGATGTGAGTGAGTAGATAAAAACTAGATCATCCTCCAAGTGAGATGTACAATGCTGAGGGGAAGCAGTTACTCAAATTTGACTGATAGAGTATTTGATTAATCATGACTTTTATTAAACATTTTTGTCTTACTGTCAGGTGCTAAAGAGAAGCAGTGGGAGGGTCTCGTATTTAAAAAGTGCAGCGAAGTTTTTGAACTGAATAGAAACACAAACCTGGTCATGTCCCTGTAGCTGGAAAAACTACATTAAGTTTAATGTGATACTGTACTGTGATGGGAATATGTAATTCCTGAATTCTTCACTTTTTCCTCTGTGGTTTTGAATGACCTTTGAAGGTGTACATAAAACTGAGGTCACTGAAACATTTGTGACTGACTACTTGTCCAGGAAAATCTGTTGAATCTTGTGACATTAAGGTTTGAGATGAATTTCTTAAAATGATATTATAAAAACATAATTCTGGATTAATTTATCAAGAAGGGTGCTTTACAGGAAACTGCTTTAATACTGTTGAATTAGGGGGAAGCAGCATCATGGTTTACATGCTTGTAGATTGCTGATTAGTCCTTCTTGGGGGAAAGAACTCCAAATCATAACTCTAAAATTCGTCAGCTGCACAACGGTCCCATGGGTGATTACTTATAATCCTGGGAGGCCACCAGTGTTTTCAAAGAGGGTTGTAGGCCTTCATAATTTTGGTAACTCGGCTCTTTCTTCACTCTGATTTCAGGATGAGAAAATCCTCCCTGGGGTACAGCGATACGGTCAGTTACGCCATGGAAGTGGGGCCCCTGGCTGCGCTTCAGAAGCGAGCTTCTTGGGGACGGTACGTCCGCTTTATCATTTCACTGAATAAACTCATTACTGAAAATTAATGGCTACACTTGGAATGGTTAGGAGATGGCCTTTTTACTAAGATGTTGCTTGCTTTAAGAATGTGTTCCTTGTGCTTTTGAAATATTTTTATGCACTGTTGTACGTCGTTTCCCGTAGCCAGCTAGCAATTGTGACATGGGAGGATTGAGTAGTGTTTCCTTCTGTTAGGCATTTCAATTTTCAGGTCTCCAAGAGCTGTGAAGAAAAAAATTCTGTTTAGTTATATTGGAAGATATGTGGTATAACCAGAAATGTATTCTGTATTGTCTAATATAGTGAAGTAATTTAGATTTTCTTTCCTTTACCATAAACACGTTCTTCTGCATCAGAGTTCACTCTTTAAGTGGGTTGACACTGCAAATATTAATTACTTCAATATATTTATTCTGAAAGGAAGCAAAACAGTTCTTTGATTCCTGGTTAAATGCAATATACAAATAATGCAGAAATATTTACTGTATTTTGCAGTGATGACGTGCAGATATTAGTAGCTTGTTGTCTGTCTTAAATACTTTATCTTTTTTAAAAGACATTTTTTTTTCTTTGCCATTTGTTGCTGTATAGCTGTTTATGGAGTTTATGGACTGATTACACAGTAGTGAAACGCAAAACTTCAGGCATGTGCAGTGTTAATGTGTTGGGGTTTTTTGACTCACTGGAAGGAGAATTACTTTTTTAGTCCTGTTTTTTTCAAGGATGCAGCATCTTGCAAAATGTGTTTTGGCTATTTGTTTTGAGTAAGAAAAGGTGAGCTAGGCATTTAAGATCTTTTGTGATGACTTCACAGGCATGGTGTAGTGCTCAATTAGAGAGAAAATTGGTTTCTAGTGAACTATAATGACACTTCTGTAATGCACCAAAGAGTTACAAGCCACAAATGGTGATTTGATTTCCATAGACACTGCTGCAGCAAATCCAGTCAATCTCTGAGGCAAATCTCTGCTCTGTGTGAATCTAGCAAAGAGCTTCCTTACACCACATCTTCAGACCACCATGTGTAACATTTTTCAGAAACAATCAACCATAGTTCAGTGTTTTTTCAGTGATATACAGTATCTGAATGTGTTTTTGGATACATTGATAAGGACCCACTTAAAGGTTTTCACATATTACTATCTTGAATTTCTGAAACTCGTATAACGTAGTTTGTGTGGGACATTTAATCTCTGGTCCTGGTGTAAAACAGCAGAGTTAGGGATTCACGTGCACCAGCAGAATTGATCTGTGCATTGAATATGTATATCTCTTGATTTTATTCATATCACATTGTTAAGTCTGAGTGTTTTGGTTTTTATGCCACTTTAAAATATGTGAGTACCTTCTTGATGCCTCTTCACTGTTACCTTAAGAAACAAACACATACAGAGCGACCCTGTTTTGCCATAAGAGGAGTGTGGAATGTAGTGCTTGTGAGATTAATGTGGTATTTGAATCTGGGATTCTGACCACTTGAAAAAAGGAGCACTAACTGCATGTTAGGTAAAAATGGGTTAATTATTTGGATCCTAAGTATAACATCTGTTTGTTTTTTGTTCCTCAGGAACATTGTTGACTTTTTCCTAGTGATAACACAGCTGGGATTTTGTAGTGTTTATGTTGTGTTCTTGGCAGAAAATGTGAAGCAGGTGAGTAATGTAACTGTATGGAAACAGTTATAGTTTTAGTTTTGTTTTTCCTCACTTTTACTTCCTATCCTTATGAAGTCCAACAGAACTACTTGTAAAATGTGAAGCTGGTTCTACTGCAGTTTCCACAAAAGAGCTCTTGGTAAAAAGGAGCAATGTGCATAGTGAACTAAATTCAGATCTTGTGCAAGTGTTTGTGACATCAGTATCCTCTGATTCTTTTGCTGAACTTAAAAATGAATTGTGGAAATGGCTGAAAACAAGGCTGAAACCAGTATAGGAGTAAGTTGTCTCTATTTTTTTTTTTTTAATTTTTTTTTTTTCTTTCCCCCCCCCTTCTGGTTTTCTGCTGACTTCCTGGGCATAGTTTTCCCTTTTCACATCACTGGAACTTTTCTTTGGTTTTTGTTTAGTCTCTTTTAGAATGGTGTCATCTGCCACAGAATCCATTGTGTCTAAACCAATCCTGAATTTTGTTCTTAAAAATGCCTCACATTGAAATTTCCACAGCCTTCTCAGTAGTCGGTTCCAACGTTAATTCTTAACTGTTAGACAGCTTCTTTTTAGAAGCTTAAAATTTCTTATCAGCATTGAGTGCTGTATTTCATGTTCTAGCTGTAAGTAACTTATTCTTTCTATTTGTAAATACCTTTTATATTTTTGAATATTATCATATCTCTCCTCAGACAGGTGAACAGAGGGAATGCGCAGCAGAGAACTAAGAGAAGGGAAAACCAGTAAAAATGTTACTAATACCAGTCCTTGACCAATATCTCTGCACTGTGCTCTTTACTCTTCTGATCATCTTTGCGTGTTGGTGTGTGTACATTGAGCCCTCAGGGAGACATGATAACAATATTAAAAAATATGAAAGGTATCCTCAAATAGGAAAGAATAAATTATCTAATAGAGGAGAGGCAGGATAGAATCTAATAATTCTTGCTTTTCTGTGAACACTGCAGTTGCTCAAATCTTTTTTTCCATGTTTCATCCTTGAAGTTGGTTATGCTACTCTAGCTGAAAGTTTTGCTTGTGACCAGTAGAGCTGGAAGGTTATTTCACAGGTCTTACAGGTCATATTTCAGACTTGACACTTCGGTATAATGGTAATTTTACAGGCATGTATCATTGCTAATTCATGACTGACTTGTGATCCACTGTAATTTCTCTGTCCTTTACTGTAGAGCTGCATTCTAGGCAGTTCTTCTGGTTGTTCTTTCTGTACAGATGTTTTTCTGCTTACCAATATAATCCTTTATTTTTTCTTCCTGGATTGATTTTTAATTTCTCAAGCTTCAATTTTAATTCAGTTATTAAATACTTTTTCACTTTCCATCTGGAATACTATGTTATTAATGATAGTATTAAATAGCACTGCTTATGTAGCATATAATGTCCTACTGTAAATACTATTATACATATGTAGTATTAAATGCATGTTTCAATGTATTACAGATTTTTAAATAGATTAGATATTGTTAGAAAAATACTGTGATTCATTTGTGCAAGTTGATTTAAGGCTGTCTAAAAGTCAAATATTTCATCATGCCATATTTATGAAAAAGCTGATGAAAAATTTCAAATGCATCTCCACAAGCACAAATATCTGTACAACTCCCAAGCAACCCCCAAAGCTTTCAATAAAACCCAGCTACCCCTTTTCCCTCCTACAACCATCCTTCACTGACTAAAGCAAACAAAACCATGCCTGTTGCTTTGACAACAGCTCCTCATGCTTCTGCCATGTGTTTTGTCTCTCATTTCCCAGTCCTCCTAAGCCCTTCTATTTCTCATCAGTGGAGGTTTTGCTGTTGATGGGATCCCTTATGTCTGCTGGTCTTTCCTGTTTGCATTCTCAGCAGTTGCAGTTGGTAGTTCGTGTGTCTGAGCAGGTTGTCTATGGGTGGGCAGCCAGCACAGATTGGCTCCTCAGATAGGAGCCACAGGCTTTTTGAGTTTATGGTGCTCTGTCTTTCATGGCCTTATTAAGATGTTAGGGCTCCACCAACATACTCTACTGTGTTTTCTGTTCCTAAGAATGTTTAGTTGCTTGAGACATAAAGCCGATGAGGATGAATCGGACCCTGTATCTAAACATGTGCTTCTGTAATTAGTGAAGCTGGTGAGGCCTGAGATACAGCAGGTTACTGAGCATTAATCTTCCATATGGACTCTGTTCTACCCTGTAGTTAGAATAAAGGTGTCTTTGCATAGCTTAATTTACTTTAATGAGGGAGGAGAGTGTCCCCGTGGGTAGTCAGTACACAGAAGATAGTATGTGTTTTTCCTCCCCTAGTAGATCAATATTTATATTGTATTCCAAGTATTCCAAGTTCTACAGATGAAGATCTTGTGAAACTGAGGTGAATTTGTGTATTTCAAATCTGGACACTCTGTAATTTGTATCTTGGGAGAGGAAAAAAAAAAAAAACAAACCATCCCAACCTTAAAAACTACAGTCCCACTGTCACAGTCTATCGCAGTGTCTAAAAGCCTGTTTCACATCAGATGTCCTTCCACTGGCCTCCTGAAATGGGGATTTTTGTTACATCCCTTCTAAGTTCAAATTGGAACCTTTCCTGTAAACTACGTATCTGATCAACCAGTTGTTAGCTATGTTTTGACCTTAAGCAAAATGCAAGACTGAACGCTTACTGACTTTGGCTTTTGTAGAGTTTGAAGAAAAACAGAACCATTTCAGGAATCCTATTGCTACTGTCTTGAAGAAAGGCTGCAAGGTCTTGCAGGGAAGTAACCTCTTCAAAAGCAGTGGCTGCAGAGTTCCATGACATGTACCCTATGAATGAATAAAAGTCGTCAGCAACTCGGGAGTCCTACTGCCAAGTATACTGGATTCAGGTTGCCCTGTGCTCGCTCTTTCCTCTGGGAGGGAGAAGGCTGTGGTTTCTTCCTGGCAACTTTCTCTTGCAGAAATCTGTCCCGTAGAGGGCACCAAAGAACATACATTGGTACTGCTTTAAATCTCATTATTTGGGGTGGTGAAAGGATGAGGCAGGTGGACAGAGGGAATCGTGTGCGCACGTGTGTGTGTGTAGGACTAAGATCAAGGAAAAACATAGTAAAAATGTTACTAATACCAGTCTTTGACCAATACATCTGCAGTATGCTCCATACTCTTCTGAATATGCTTGTGTGTTGGTGTGTGTAAATTAAGCCTACTGGTACTAGTGGAAACTTCCACTGAGATCTGTTTTTTTATGTTTTTAGTTAAAACTAGTACCAACCTGAATTTAGTAGTCTCTTCTTTCAGTTTATTCATTGTTTTGGAGAACTAAGATGTGGCAAAGCATTTTAAAATGGTTCTGGCACGTGAATGGAATATTCATCAATCCAGTTTACTTTGAGTTGAATGTTTAGACACATGGTGGTACATATGAGTCTAAATATTTATTTCATCTTTTGAATTCTGTGAAATGTTTGATGTACTGTATGCAGTATAATGTCTGGTGCTAAATCTTTTCTGATGAGTGTCTGTGGGATTGTAACAATGTTGGCTGCATTATATTAGTGTTTCCCAGACACTTGATGCTACAAGATCCTATTTACAGTTATATTAATTTTCAAATGGAGCTTTTCCTAAGGAATATTTTCTTTAGGCACGAAAGCAACTTAAGTTAGTGGAGACAATGGTTGGTTAAGTCTGGCAGCTTGCAGATATGGGGCTTACAGATGGAAGTGTATAGAACTGGAGAAGAAAAACTGGAATAAGAGCTGGAGCTTGACTACAGCAAGTCTGGAGCAGGAACACACTGGGTTGGGAGAAAAAAAAAATCTGTACCAAAAGAGCATGGTCCCCTTTCAAGCTGTGGTTACTTTTCTCTTCCTGCCTGAGCAACAGAAAACCTTAAGTCATGGTATTTATCAGCTTACTGGTGGATATTTGCAGAGTTCTCTCAAAAGTGTCTTTTTCTCATTGTTTACTAATAAAGCTAAGAAAAACCACAGAAGTCCTTACTGTGTGGGAGCACTTCATTAGATCTTTAGAAATTTGAAGATGACCCATCAGTGGGATGCTACATAATGGAATTTTGCTTTTTTTTCTCTCCAAGTGTAAAATGAAAAAATTTCTCTCATTGTGTAAAATGAAAAGAAAACAAACAAACCAAACCATAGGAAATTGTACTTGAACGTAAAATTATGTGTGGAAAACATACAGTTTGGAAAGGTGAGTACAGAGTGATAACAAAATAGCAGAACTGAATGAACTGTGAAACATTTTTTTTTTTTTTTGCATTTTCATGCCAAATTACAGGATTACAATATAGTCTTTATCTGACAGATAACACACTGGTTTTGTGCCAGATCTGGCCGCCTTGTACTGGCTATTAGTCCTAGTTGAGTAAGGAAAGAGTTAAAAGGAACCAATGAGCTCAGAGACTGTTTTGATCCCACTAGATGCTAAGAAGTACATAGGCCATGTGACAGGAAGAGTGAAGTTTGGGGTTTGGGATGCAGGTGAGAAAACAGTGCTCTTAGTAAAAGAGGCTAAGGAAATGGAGTTATTTCTTGCTTCTGACGTAGTTCATGTAAGAAGTGTGTTCATCAGTTGTATTGAATTTTCTGCAGTCAGTAGCTGTGCATTAGTCACTTTCTGAGTTCCTGACATCAGGAATCTGATAACCAGATTTGCAGAAGTGTTTGATCTCCCTGGATACAGCTGAAGTTGGTGGGTGCTGCGCTTGAGCTATGTAGATGAGATATTACGTGAAGCACTCCTGTAAAGAAAGCTGGTTCAGGCATCACACCAGCATCTAAGTTAATGCTTGAATAACTGAAGTGACTTCTGATGGAAGTCAGCTTGTGATTGGAAACTTCACTAGCCTTCATGGTCAATATGCCTAGTGATTTCAGTGGTTCTGGACTTCCTTTCTATAACCACGTTGATGTTTCCTCATGTGGTTTAAGGAAATGTTTGTGGAAGTCCCAGGCACAGTCATGATGAGCACAGAACAAAATGCAGATAATGTGTGTTCAGGTTG